TTCGTCAATTCAAGAGGTCGGAGTTCGCATGTGTTGCCTCAAAAGATTTACTAGATGCTTCATATGATTTAAGAAATTCATTCTCGCAAGTTGACATTTTTCCTCAATAATCTGCGATTTTATTGGCCAGCATCAACAGTTTTTCATAGATGTTTTTAATTGTATTCTTTTATCCGGAGTTTTCCCTAACGTATTCAAACATGGAATAATTAGACCGCTCCCCGAACATGGTAACAACAAAGAAGCAATGTCAAGTTATCGCAGGATTACAAACTTATCTGCACTTCGAAATAACAGAAAAGCTACACTAGCGCAGTTAAGCGAACATCTGTGAACGAATAATTTGTGGCCTAAATTCCAATCGGCATACCGTAAAGGTATTTTACAGAAACTGGTCGTCTTCATTGCTCACACTACAATTTTTCCAATACTGATTCTGGAAAGCACTTGTATGTTATATCGTTGGATTTTTCAGCAGCGTTTGATACAAAAGACCTCTCAGTGTTATTGGAAATTCTGGAAAAAAGGTTGGCATTGCTAACACTGTCAAAAAGTTCTTCGAATCCTACCTTACCAACCGTTTTGTTTAAGTTATGGTGAACGGTTACTTTTCCATAAACCTTCCGTTTAAAACTGTAGTGCTCCAGGCCTCGGTTCCTGGGCCGATTGCAATCATGCTTTATCTGCATATCGACAAAAATGTTGCCTACCATTTTACACCGATGACTCACAGTTATTTATAGATAATAACCTATTAACAAAAGTGCGAGAAAAATTACCAAAACTGCGCACTAAGAAAAGATTATGCACTCAATTGAATTTGAGTCACAATTTGAAGGAACGCAAAACAGATGTTGTGTTCTTTGGTAGACTTTCGTAAAAGCATAATTAAAACCTGTTCAAAATCTTTAATAACGAAAAATTCCTAAGTGCTCGAATAAGCTTCTGTGCTTTTACCTATAATAAAACATGACTTTCGACAAGCAGATTAATTGTTGTTGCAAATTATGTAGTAAGAACTGCCAAAACTGTATTCTATTTAACGCTTTTTTAACCTTGAACAAAGAAAAATGTTTGTTACCAGTTTTATCCTATTCAGATTTGGTTATTGTATTTCATTGTTTTTGAAATGGAAAAAAGTTTTTTCATTAATTACAGAGAAGTCGGAATGCTGTTGCTAGTTAGTTTTTTTTAGGATTTAGAAGGAGAATGTCTTCATCAAACGAATTTCTATACAAATTTGATTGGCTGCCATTCTATCAACAAACAAAGTTCAAGATGTACTGTATTTTGTTTCGAGTATTTGATAACTGGAATTGTGCGCAGAAAGAAAAATGTTGTGCCAAAATGCAGAACAGAATTTATCAAAAGAAGCATTTACCACCACGGAGCGATAACTTGAAACTCACCGCCCGCTTTTGTAACTGATATTGACGAACTTGCTGCATTCAAACGAGCCATGAAGGCTGTATTTTGCTGTGAGGCTTTTTTAGCCTACCACTCTCGAGTTCAAATTTTCCCTTGTGACTCATCAAAGAAGCGAATTATTTCTGAGAAAAAAATTGAGAAAAAATGGGATCATTACGAGGCCAAACTGTGCATTTTGTGCATTGTAAGCGGATTCCGCAACAAGGACGCTCCCTTTGTTCTTCTTTTGTTCTTTAATTTTCTTTGATCGTTCCGACAAAACTTTAACATGTTTAAAGACTTGGCTCTGGAATCCAGGAACATACAGACACAAAATTGTGCTTCTATCCAGTGCACAGTTTGGCCTCGTAATGATATATTGCAAAAATTTTAGAGCTTATCAATCTATTTTCAGAACATTGAACTCTTCCAACGCTTGTTTTTGACAAAAAAAGATATTGGTTTGCTTGATGGAAAAACGCAACTCATAAATAAGAGACACAAAAAACATGTAGTCTATGGAATTTTTTTGATATTACATATCTTACTAATTTTTGAAATAAGCATGAATTCAACAGAACAAAATTCTTGATCAGTTCGCCCACTCGACTTGCGCTTCAAAGTATGAAAACCAACCTGTTCTTTGACAATTGGTGTTTGCTTACCCCGAACATTGAGCTAAACAAACTCAACCAATTGCATTTTAAGAACAAGGACAAGATAAATAACAAGAACAAAAAAAGTTTTTTTTCTATAATTTTTCTTAAACTTTCACAAATTTTTTGATTTCAAAGATAAAGCTAAAAATTCTAGAAACTAACTTCATTGAAGTAAAACTAACTTTTCAAGGCTTAAATTAAGCATAAATAAATTAATTTAAGCCTGCTAAATCAAAAAATGGAACTGGTTTTTCTTGACACCGGTAACCCTTTAAAAAAATTTTTGATGTCTTTCGAAACGCGACTGAAAAGGCTTTAATATGATATATCACTAAATTTATTCTGATGATTTTTTGTGGTACCTGATTTTGCGTGGAAAAAAATTAAAACACGCCCGAATACAAAGTTCCTCCCCATTTTCAACGATCGGAACAAAAAAAAACAATGTTTCTTTTTTCTTTCATTTTATCGAATCAAAACAAATTGTGTACGTTCACTTAAACTCGCAGTTTCGGCAAAATTAATCTATACGAAGGCGCCATTTGTTAACCCACAACATACTTCTAGTAAATTGTTTAACAAATGCAAATTTTTTCTGCAGCTTGCCCCGGAATTGATACAGTTTTTCGATCAGCCATTTAATTGTTTTGAATTTTACACACAGAGGCAAAGCGGAGATTCGCATCACTTGCAACACAACACAATCATAAAAAAACATGGGTAGAAAAAATGAAAGTTGTTGAAGAAAAACTAGGTGAACCAAAACTTTCGATAAAGGACACCTAGGCCAGCTAACGCTGGAGGAACGTGTTCGCTGGAGGTACGTATTTTTTTATTCTGTTATACTGATGCGGGACGAAATCTGTGATTAAAATATTGCATTTTGCCCAAAACTTGAGTTTGCTCTACTAAAATAATTGACAGGAGTGAAACTTTTTGAGATTTTGAGAGTTTTCACAAAGACAACTTTTCTCTTGCAAAAAAATAAGGAGTAACCACTTCCAGGAAACTTTCATCTCAGATTTGATAGGTAACTTAATAAAAAATTCTACCCGGTTACAGAAACTTCCGACCATTTTTTAGAAACTTTGATAGGGTAAAGTTAAAAAACTTCCGACTTTCCGAAACCCGTAACTTTTCTCTGCTAAAAGCAGGTCGTGAACGAAAAGTAGCGAAGAATCTCAAATCGTCTTTCTCAACTGAAAAATTATTCTGAGAATTGGCAAGGTAATTTTCGAGTAAAAAAATTCCTAAAAACGGTCAGTGTCAAAACTTTCACTTGTTTAGGAAAAACAAAAAAAATATCGGTCAAATATCCCCCACAGACTTTTGCGAAGGCTGTAGACATAAGAGTAGAGTAAAAAGACGCCAAAACAGAATGTATGCATACTAGAAGGTAGACGGTCTTTCTATCGATACCCCTTTTATGAAAATTGGTAGAAGGATTTTTGAAAGAAAAACTTATTTTTCAAAGCGTCTTAAAAAATACAATAAAAACCAAATCCTATATTTATCTAACATGAGTTCTAGATTCCAAGCAAGACATTTGAAGTTCAATTTATTAACTGTGAAAAACTTACGAAGCGAAAACTAGGCCAAAAATCTTTGAGCAGACAGCAGTTGAGCCAAAAAGAAAAAAACTTCGAAAAAATTTAAGTCCCCCTGTAACTACCCCGTAGTAACTAGTACCCACCCAGTAGTCAAATTTTGACTTTCATGAAATGGAGCATGTCAGGTGCATAGTGATTCAACTGATTTTGTTAAACTAGTTGTTAACCCGAAAAAAGTCAACACTCCAATTTGATAACGCTTTCTAATCGCATCGTAAACCTGTGACATTTGATCACGGAATCGGACATCTGATTGTCAAACTAATGATTGAAAACACCCAAATCAGAGTCAAAAACCGTTGAGCCACAAAACATACACCAAGAATAACCGAAACATTGGGAACCATTTTCGGATGAAATGTAGCTGACACACTGAAACTAATTTCCTTAAAAAACCATTCAAGATTCAGAAAAACCTGATTTTGCATATGCACTTTTTAAAATGTCAAGTATTAACGATGCTGTAGGAAATGAAAATCCAGTTTTTCACTAGGAAAGATAATAACTGAATTCTACACTGCTGAGCATTTAAATGATCCGGACAAAATGAATAAAACTTGAAATTTAAAACGAGTTTTTCTCAAATTAGGTTGATTTTAGACAATAAAATTATGACTAATCTTGCTCAAAATTGCAACAGAATGAATATGCAAAATTCTGGCCCAAAAATTTACCCCGAAAACAGTCATTTCTGGTTTTGTTTAGTCAATCAAAAATTACTCTAAGCCTATTTGTTCTTCTACTGACACAACTATATCACTGAAAACCTCTTATGGTTCTAGAACTGATAATCAACCAAATTACGAAGATAACAGGAATGATTTAGTTTACCACTTCAATATTTGCAGCCGGATTATTCGTATCCAACGAGAGACAAAAAATCGTTCTCCTCAGCACGTAGCCCAAACAAAGAAGTGACCAGTATTTAGTGGTTTCCCAGAGCTAGTGGTTTGCCAGAGCTAGGAAATCCACATAAAATCTACATTTGTGTAAAGCTGTCGAAAGCTTATTATGTGTAAAGCTTATTACGTCATCGCAAAACCAGTCGCGTGCACATGAATTTCTTCAAGGTGGGGGCGGTTCTTCGAAAAAAAACTTAACCTTTTTGTAGGTCGACGCGAGTAAATTTTCGGTCAACCAAAAAAAAAGATGAGGCAAAATAACACCAAAAGAAGACACTTTGTAAAAACTTGGAAGCAAAAGTGCGGGCGGGTCTAGGCCAACACGCAGCTAAAACTGTTATAAAAGTACGAAGCTAACAATACGTAATATGACTTTATTTTGAGCCATTTTTTCGGACCGAAAAAAAAACGTGGTATGAAAATATTCTTTTCAATGTAACTGGACAAAGATTATACTACATGATCTGATGTAAAATTAAATTTATCGCATAGCCGCATAATTTATTCATAAACTTATTAGTTCAAACGTCACTTTGGTACATATTAGTCACTATCAACTGTGTCTAAAGATTTTAAAACGGACTAATCCATTTTTCACTTTGTTGATCATGATTTTAAAATCCTCTTCCTTTATAAACTTTTCCGATTGCGCGGTAATTAGTCTTCAAAAACAGAATTGAGCAGCTCGGAAATGTTTTTCTATTTAGATCAGAACGGAATTGTATTTTTCGATAAATAGGGCAATAGTTTAATAAAACCATACATACCATCAGTAATAGTCTGATTTCATTATTCAATTAATTAGGATAGTAAAAATTGGTACATCAGGTGTTGCTTTAACTACATCTAGAAACGGGTAGGAGAGTTTATTTAAATATTTGGACATATAAAAACAAGTTTTCTCCATTATTTCGTCGTAATACGTCTGACCCTTTCTATCACATTCGTCTATCAATGATTTTTCGTTGTGTCATCTGATCTAACTGTGGTTTAGTGCTATTGGGGGAGGGGAGGGGATGGAAATCTAGCAACTGCAGCCTCCTTTTTCTCTAGGTGGATCTGTCTTGAGGTCAATCTGGGCTGGAAAATCTGATCCGAAGTTGCCTGCATCTGCCTCCTGGGCCAGTGCGTTGGTTGCAATTGTGCAGAACGCCTGAAAATGCCAATCATTCTGACTAATACGAAACCCTTTAGTTAAAACGTTTTCAAATTATTAAAATTTTTAAAACTGAGGATTAAAACATTCCAAAAAACCATCTAAACCTAATTTTAACACAGAGACGACGCTTCGCTTCGCAAACACTTGCTAGAACACGATAAAGCAGCTCTAAAAAATTTGAAATTAGCCTCGAATTAGTAAAAATTCGGCTACCTCTGAGATTCCTGAGCCCTAGAGATTAAGAGTTTCACACACTGACCATTCAGCCACAGAAGCTTATTAGGCACCAAACAATGGCCACGAATGAGAAAAATTTTAATATCGTTCGCATCACGACTGAAAGGGCTTTATTATGATATATCACTCGTCACCTTCCGATGATTATTTGTGGTGTAAAACATAAAAGAATACATAGCCAACGAGAGTAATGAACGCAAGTAAACTGAAAAAAAACGACTTGTTTTTTTCAAACATCTTCAACTTTTGAATTTCGATGCAAAAATAGATGGTCTCCAAGCTCTTTGAAATTGCAGAAAAATTTAAGAAGGACGCTTCTTTGTTAAAATTAACCCAATTTGACGAAACTGGATCAATTGGTTAACCTTTATTTTGCAGGAAAATCTGATATTAATTTCCATTATCGAAACTAGAAGTCAATCACGTTTTTCGTGACCTTTACAATTTTGTTATTCGATAGTGAAGTTTGCTTTCCTTTTAACAATAGAAATGCACTGAACTTGAAAAGAAATCACAAGTCAAACCGCGAGAATCAAAATTAAGCGTGAACAAACTAAAGGCCAGCTAAAGCTGGAAACACTGTTTGATAACTTTTGAAATTTATGTATTGATGAGGAAGGAAAAGGGTAATTTTAAAAAACAGACCTATAGCAAAGAAAAGTAAATCCCAATATAATGACTTCAAAATCAGTAAACTTCATCAAATACTTTAGTTTTCTGAAAACTTGAAGTGATAACAAGAGCTTGTTAGGTTGAAAGATGCTTAAAACGATGCTCATTAGATTTGGGTGGGTAGTTTTTGGGAGAAGTCAAAAAGTTTCAAAACCGTAAAACGGTAAGAAAAAATCGAGAATTTTACTATTTCGAGGGTCATCAATTTTTGTGTAACAAATTGAGCGTAACCGTTTAGAAAGTTCTTCACACAGAAACCAATATCACAGATTCTGGAGTGCAGTTTTTGAGAAAAGTCAAAAGTTTAAAAAACACAGTCTTTACTTCGAATTTTCCCAGGGTCAAAACTTTTTGTGTAAAAAAAATTAGGCATAACCGCTTATGCAGTCGAAACTCCCACAACCCGTTCTACTTATTGAAACCAAAACCAAGATTTAAGAGGGTAGTTTTCAGGAAAAGTCAAAGTTTCAAAAAAGGTCAAAAATCGAAAATTCGATTTTTCCCAGGTTCATTATTTTTTTCGGTAAAAAAAAATTGGGCGTAACCAATAATGCAGGGGAGCTTCTCACAACCCGTTATTTTGAATGAAACAAAAATCTCAGATTTGTGTGGATAGTTTTTAAGAAAAGTCAAAGTTTCAAAAAAGGTCAAAAAATCGAAAATTCGACTTTTCCGAGGTTCATTTTTTTTTCTGTAAAAAAAAAATTGAGAGTAACCAATTATGCAGAGGAGCTTCTCACAACCCGTAATTTTGAATGAAACTAAAACCTCAGATTGAGGAGGGTAGTTTTCGAGAAAAGTCAAAGTTTCAAAAAAGGTCAAAAAATCGAAAATTCGATGTTTCCCAGGTTCATTATTTTTTTCTGTAAAAAAAAGATGGGCGTAACCAATTATGCAGGGGAGCTTCTCACAGCCCGTAATTTTGAATGAAACTAAAATCTCAGATTTGTGTGGATAGTTTTTAAGAAAAGTCAAAAAGTTTCAAAAAAGGTCAAAAAATCGAAAATTCGACTTTTCCGAGGTTCATTTTTTTTCTGTAAAAAAAAAATTGGACGTAACCGCTTAAAAAGGGGAGCTTCTTACAACGCGTTCTTCTCACAGAAACCAATATCACAGATTCTGGTGTGCAGTTTTTGAGAAAAGTCAAAAGTTTAAAAAACACAGTCTAAAATTCGAATTTTCCCAGGGTCAAAACTTTTTGTGTAAAAAAAATTAGGCATAACCGCTTATGCAGTCGAAACTCCCACAACCGTTCTACTTATTGAAATTAAAACCTCAGATTTGGGAGGGTAGTTTTCGAGAAAAGTCAAAGTTTCAAAAACAGGTAAAAAAAATCGAAAAATCGACTTTTCCAAGGGCCATAACTATTCGTTTAAAAAAATTGGGCGTAGTGTTTATGCAGTTGAACTTCCCACAACGTCTTCTATCTGTTGAACCCAACATCTCAGAATCGGGAGGGTGGTTTTCGCGAAAGGGTAAAAACTCAACAATTTGGGTCAAAAATCCCCCCACACACTTTTTCGACGACTGTAGGAAGTGGGGTAAGGTAAAAAGGGATTAGAGGGTTATACAGGCATACCGGGGAGTGGGCGGACTTTTCATTAGTTTCACTTTTTTAAAACTCGGTAGAATAGTAGAATTGTTTCAAGGTGAGGGCGGTTCTTCGAGAAAAAAAAATGTTGACCTTTTTGTAGGTCAACGCGAGCAAACTTTCAGTCAACCAAAAAAAGATGAGGTAAAATAACACCCAAGCAAGACACTTTGTAAAAACATGGAAGCAGAAAGGTGGGCGGGTCTAGTCCAATACGCAGCCAAAACTGTTATAAAAGTACGAAGCTAAAAAAAATTATATGAATTTATTTTGAGCCGTTTTTTCGGACCGAAAAAAAACGTGGTATGAAAATATTCTTTTCAATGTAACTGGACAAAGATTATACTACTTGATGATCTGATGTAAAATAAAATTTATCGATTAGCCGCATAGTTTATTCAAAAACTTATTGGTTGAAACGTCAATTTGGAACATATTAGTCACTATCAACTGTGTCTAAGGATTTTAAAACGGACTAATCCATTTTTCACTTTGTTGATCATGATTTTAAAATCCTCTTCCTTTATGAACTTTTTCGATTGCGCGTTAATAAGTCTTCAAAAACAGAATTGAGCCGCTTATGCAGGGGAGCTAACCACAGTTTATTCTATCCTTTAAACCAACAATCTCAGATTTGACAGGTAGTTTTCGAAAAAAAGTCAAAGTTTCAAAAAAGGTCAAAAATCGACTTTTCCGAGGTTCATTATTTTTTCTGTCAAAAAAATTGGGCGTAACCGCTGAAGAAGGGGAGCTTCTTACAACCCGTTCTTCACAGAGAAATCAATATCACAGATTTGGGAGGGCAGTTTTTGAGAAAAGTCAAAAATTTAAAAACAGGTCAAAAAATCGAAAATTCGACTTTCCAAGGGCCATAACTTTTTGTTCAAAAAAAATTGGGCGTAGTGTTTATGCAGTTGAGCTACCCACAACCTCTTCTATCCGTTGAATCCAAAAGCTCAGATTTGGGTGGGTGGTTTTCGAGAAAAAGTTAAAAAAATCAAAAATTCGGGTCAAATATCCCCCCACACACTTTTTCGACGACTGTAGAAAGTGGGGTAAGGTAAAAAGGGTTTAGCGGGTTATACAGACATACAGGGGAGTGGGCGAACTTTCCATTAGTTTCACTTTTTTCTAATAATCATTAAATAGTTTTCGAGAAAAACTAAGTGTTTAAAAAAGTGAAAAATTTTTCCAAAGCGTCTCAAAAAACATATAAATAATATTAAAAAACCCAATCCCATACGTTTTCATAATACCTGTTTTAATCAAACAGGAATTTTTAGATTTTCCTGAAAGATAAACAAAAAGAATCAGAAAGACCTATATATGAGTGCTCACTACGTTCACTACTCTTAAAAGAAACTAAAACACACCCGATTACAAAAATCTTCCCCATATTCAATGGTCTGAACAAAAAAAATTGTGATCGCAGAGGCCAAGCTGAGCTTCGCACCACTTGTGATACAAAAATGAATGTTTGCGATTAAAATTACATGAAAAATAAAACCCAAAATTGAAATAAAAACCATAAAAATTGATTTTAATCGAAAAAAGCCCGAAAAGTCCGAAACAAAATTACCTGTACCATTAGAACTCTCACAAGGAGCTTTCGGAATGCTAGAAAGAATCCGAACTTTCAGAAAATAACTTTTTGCGGGAACTAAACCGGCAATAATAACCAGACAGACAAATATCTAAATTAGTAGAAAATGTTCAGTTTGCAAAAAACTCCCGGCTGAAATCGAACTCCTGAGCTTTGTCGTAAAGCATGGGTGTTACAGCAAACTAGAAGAAAGCTGAAACTTCGAAAAAATCTGGCTACGGGAACTAGTCCGCAAAAGACCGAAAACTCAAGTTAGAAAAAAAATCAGGTCCGGACCGGATTCAAACAAGCCTTTGCCGTCTTAAACAGATGTGTTTCCTCTATGCCAGATGCTACGGATGATCGATTAAAAAAAATGGTTGAGTTCAGGCTCAATGAGATGAGTCCTGTGAATGAAGTTATTTACGGAAATTGAAAGTCTAGTACCAGATTGCAAAACCCTTGCTTATCACAGGAGTATAAAAAATGTAAACACTGGCCTAAATTTACTTAAATTAGCGTAGAACTAAAGTTTTCATTTAGAAAAGAAGTTTTGATTAAGATCAAGAAGTGTAAATTTTAGCATTTTGAGACAGAGGCGAAGCTGCACTTCTCAAACACAAGCGAGCAAACGGCAAAAAATCTCTTAAAAGCCAAGAATAAAGTGAATTAAAGAAAAAATTCTTCAACATTTTTTGCTACGTGCCGGCAACAAACTTCCGACTTGGAGATTAGGAGTCTCAATTTCTGACATCTGCATCACAATCAATTAAAAATTTACCAACATTAGCTACAGTTTCTACTACATTGCCAACACTAAGTTCAACCAAATAAAAACAAAACTAATTTTCAATACGCTGGAATTGAAACTCGAACTTTTCCTCGCATCTGCCCCACAGTCGCTTAAAAAATCTTTGTAAAACTTAAAAAAAAAGATCAGAGGCGAAGATTGATTGAAAACGTGTATTGCAACGATAAAAACTGAACATATTCCAAGTCCATTAGTGATTCCCCGTCAAAATCACTGAGAAAACGCTTTTGCAGAAGATATCATCAAAGCCTCTCAACTCGATTGATTTTCTCGTTTGAGAAGTGGTATAGTCGTTTTTGGTAAAAGTCCAAAAAATGGGTCAATAGGTCGAACAATTCATAAGTTCCTAGCTGATTCCGTACCAAAACTAGCACATTTTGCTGATGCAGAGGATATTTAACAGATTATTTTTCGATTGATCCCTTTATCACAGATTTGACACTGTAGTTTTGAGATTAAAAAAAAACAAAATTTCCAACATTACTTTGCTACAAACACTAGGGCTAGCTTCGCATATGTAAAAAAAAGGATCCAACGCAGAGGCGATGATGAGATTCGCACCACTTGCGATGCAACGCTCGAAAAAACTTCAAAAAAAGTCGAAAGAAAAAATTAATCCAAAAAAACAAAGAGGAGTCGAAAAAACTAGATCAACTCTAGAAACCACAATATAGTACAAAAGAATGTAAAAATTTCAATCGGAAAATTTAACACGCGGAAAAAAACAATGTCTGAGCAGAAACCCTTCTGCCGAAAAAAATTTTTTTGAAAAATTCGGGAAAAAAAATTCAGAACTACGAAATATTGTTGAAGCTCATCGCCCTCAAAACGCACACACACGCAGACAAAAAAATTTTCGCTGATCAAATGATGCAATATGGGGCCACAGCCGATATAAAATATGCCGAAACCTATTAAACCGAGGAAAATGAAAAAAAAAGAAGTTTAAACAAAGCGCGTTGGTAAAATTAAAAATAACATAAAAAAAACAAATTTCGAATAGGCCGTATAATTGAAATGTTAACATGCTCAAAATATCTCTGTTGCAATAGAAAAGCTTAGCGGATGAATGAGTCCAGGATCCAAGAGATGACTCCTGTTCTTGAAGTTATTTATTGGGGAAAAGTCTAGTACCCGATTGCAATACCATTGCTTATCGCAGGTGATACTATAAATTTACAGCTTTAATATAACCGACAGGTCAACAAATTCTTTTAAAAACTTCAACCTATTTTAAAACTGTTCTATTTTCTTGTTCTTTGCAAAAGAACAGTGCTCGGAACAATCTGTACTAGTGAGCAGCAACCTGCTATGTTTAGCAACGTTCTTTTGTTTTCAACTTCTTAACTCGGTTAAGTAAATATAACATTAGAACTATTCAATGAAAACCAAGAGACCTCACACCCAGAATATTTCTAACTGCCGTTATATTATGACTCAGCATTGAAAAATGGTTCAAATTTGATATCTGTTTTAATCTAGAAGACGTCTCAACTTAAGCATTACAACTTAAATGAGAAAGCTGAAAAAGAGGATTCAGTGTGGTGTACCTGCTCGACGTTGATGCCCTCTTTGGCGCTCGTTTCAAAGTAGGGAATATTGTTCTTGCTCTGACACCACTGCTGCGCACGCTTTACTCCCACCGCACGATTCTCAAGGTCAACCTATACAACAAATTAAAGAAGTGTAGAAAAAAATAACATCGAACGCAATTTTTTGCCAAACTCATCGCGGTGGTTGAAAATACGCAGATATTTTACTTTTTCCGAAAAAAAACGATTGTCACATCAGTTGAAACAAGAATTTCCAAAACAAACTTTCAGTGGTGTGGGTTTTTCACTTTTTGTAGTCAAGGAGATTAACTCAAAGCGTTAAAAATCCTCAAATATTGATATACAAAATCAGTCTATACTTTTATACATTTTTCTTTTTTGAAGTATTTTGTGCAAATACTGAAACATTAAAATCAAATTTTAGATAAATTAGGCTCAATATTGGATGCTTTACATGAATCTCCTATAACAAAACAAAGTTTACCGTAAACAAACGAACAATATCACAATTTGAAGGACAGAGAAAAAGAAAAGAGATTCTGTGAAACTTGATTTTCAGTCATGAGTAGCTGACCTTGTTTCCGAGTAGAACGAATGGGAACTCCTCTGGGTTTCTGGGGGATGCTTGGATGAGGAACTCGTCCCTCCACGACTCCAGATTGCGAAACGACTGCTGGCTGGTGACGTCATACACCAACACACAACAGTCCGCTCCTCTGTAGAAGGCCACGCCCAATGACTGGAACCTCTCTTGGCCTAACAAAATAACACTTTATCTGCAGGTTAGGTTAGGCATGAACTTAACATAACAAGTACAAGTCAAAAGCAAAGATATGATGAACCTAGCCAACAAAATGCTCAAAAACGATCAATGAATTCAAGGAAACAGCGACATTTCTTACCTGAAAGCTGTTTCAATTTCAAGAAATTTGATTCAATTTAATTAGAAAAAAACTTGGTCAAGAGATAATTTCTTAGTTCCGCAGGGAAATCTACACAGAAGCGAAGCAGCGCTTCGCAAACACTAGCCAGAAAACGACAATAAATCAGCGTTATAAAGCGAAATGGGAAAACAGAGCCAACAAACAGTTGGAAAAGAAATCATTAAACGCAATTAAACAGAAAAACATACCAGACTGTTTTTTAAAAAAAAATCTCAACTTTCGAAATTCAAAGAAAAAATTGATGCCTTTAAAGCACTAAGAACTTCTAGAACAATTTATGATTGGTCTTTTCCCGACAAACTGACCCAATTCGAGACAACTGGATCAATATAAAAAATTTTGTTTCGCTGGAAAATCTGATTAAATTCCATTTTCGAATTTGAAGTCGATCACCTTTTTCGATACCTTTACACTTTCGCTGTTCCATCGTGCAGTTTTCCTTCCTTTTAACAAAAGAAACGAAGTGAACTAAAAAAATGAAAATGCAAAAAATGCAAATTTCAGCCTGAACAAACTTTTCCTGAAAAAGAAACAAAAAAAATCATCGCGACCTATATCAGAGTCTGAACTACGTTCATCGACTCCTAAAATTGTAAATAAGTCTTAAATAAGTAAATTTCGAGATTAAGAGGCTCAAGTGGAAATAAGCCTAAAATTAGCGACCTCGAGATTAACAGTCTCAGGTCCTACCCACTCGGGCCACGGACGCTTAAAGCTCGACAAACACTTGCCACAAATAAAGCAAAGAACAGATGCTGTGAAATTTCCAATGCTACAGATCTGCACAGCGTGATTATAGCAAAAGTGCCACCAAAGTAGCACTTGTATTTGCGAGAAAGGTTATGAAAAAAGTTGGTTCATACTAGCACACTACGCTCGCTAGTGTTTAAAAAAGTAGGTTCAAACTAACTAATACACTGGTGTAAACGACTAAAATCTACTTTCGAAACTAATGACATTCACAATCTTTGCTGTATATTCACTTCCTCACTGGAGAGTGTCGTGTGCCTCATTGGAGAGCGTCGTAAATATTTTCGATAAATTTTCCTGAAAAAACACGACCTACAGAAGTGATTTCACTCATTCAATGATACGTAAACGTCAAAAGAATAAAAATTTTATGATATTTCAAATTCATATTCCACAAAAAAAACACTGTTTAAAATACAATTACATCAATCAATGTATCCAGGAACCTTGAGGGTTCGAACACCATCTGCGCATTTGATATACACAATTTGACACAATTTGGCACCATTCGCGATGCAAAAATATATGCCAATTTTCAGTCCTCAACATTGACAAAAAACATAGCTAACTTTCGAATTTCAAATTTAAAAAATGACCTTCAAGCTCAAGAGCACTTTGTAATTGGCATTTTTTTGATTAAACTAACCCAATTTCAGAAAACTAGATTACTTGGAGAAGTTTTATTCCGCAGAGAAATCTAAAAATTAATTTCCACTTATGAAATTGAACTAAAAAAAGCATATATACATAAGGGCATTCATATGTGCAATTTTAGTATAAGTGCACTTCTTTTGTTATTGGAGCAATTGATACTTCTAAGAAAATGAAAAAACGACCTATATAAGAGCTTATGCCAAGCGAAGGAAGCAGACGCTACTTGCCATTGTTACGTATTGTCGCATGTTGAGAATCGTCACACAAACAGTTTTTTTAAATGTCTCTCACCTGCCGTGTCCCATATCTGCATGGTGACGTGTCTGTCGTCGATCATGACCTCTTTGGTAAGGAAGTCAGCCCCGATGGTGGCCTTGTACTGGGCTGTGAACTTCTTGTTCACGTACTGGTTCATCAGCGAAGTCTTACCCACTCCACTGTCGCCCAGGATGATCACCTAAAACTCAATACCATTAAAAAACCCAGCTGAACAGCTTTCCGAAAAATACCGTCATCAACCTTTTACTCACAAAAATTTTAGTAAAAAAACACCAAAACTTTATTAAAAAATCTGTTGCAATCACTGAGAATGCACCAAAAAAGAGTGTGCTTTATTACACTCATGTCGCTATGCAGAAGTTTTTTGACGGCGCAGCGAGCCGTTCCACCTTTTTTATAAACAACAATAACCGTTTTCAATTTTCAGGCTGCCACAAAAACCAAGATTTACGGCTATTTTGAAATAATTTCTGTGAAGTAAGCCATTTAAGCCCATTTTGGATCTCTACACAATTAAAATACTGTATGCTGTCACCGAATCTGAAAAAAGATGGCAAACAAAAAACGGGATTAGGGGAATAATTTTCTGTAATTTACATGATCTTGGCCCGAACCGAAGTTGATTGAAAACCGAACTCCTACACCTTGTCTTATTGCCACTAACCACTTCTAAAAGAGAAAAAGGATTAAGTAAAAGAAATTAAGAAACCACTAGCCTTTAAATGAACTTTTTTCCTGGCTCCACTCATTTTGTGTTGAGCAAATTCAATAGCAGACAAATTAGGTCGTATTTGTCAAGATTGCAATGGGATGGAAGATTAGATTGGGCTTCACACTTTGTTCACGGGACTTCCTTTTCTGCTCTGCTGATTAACTGACTTCGTCGGCAATTTGCACAGATGAGCAAACCTTACGGTACTTTTTCAATTAGCCTCCCTTTGTTGGACAATAAAATGACAATTCCAATCTGAAGCGGAAATTAAAACTTTTTAGTGTAAAAACGGATAACAAGACTGCTCGTAGCAGGGCGAAGCCCCGAATGTTCCGACTGCCTTATTGGGTCTATAGAGCAGCGTTCGCTGTAAAAGAAACGATAAAAATTTTTTAAAAAAACATGCAAAGTATTGAATAGACCAAAAAGAATGCCTCAATTCAATTTGGAACGATTCCTAAGACGTCTTAAATCTCCGCTTACGCGTTAATAGCACAAAATATATCGAGCGTTTTTTATCGCAAATTGGTGGTAATCTTTAAAACCCTGTAACTTTACAAAAAAAATCACAGGTAAAATATCTTTTTGATTTTATCTCAGGATAACAATACAAAGAGCCAAAGCCGAGCTTCGCATCACTTGCGATACAATATTGTAGCGATCAAAAATGAGAAGGAAATAAAAAAAACTTTTTTAGGAAAAAAAATTCAGAAAAACAGACTAACAATACCAGTATTAAATAAGCTTTTGAAACATGACCGAGCGGCCACTTAGCCGGCAGCAAGTGAGTAGATGCCCATTGAGCCGAAAACAAAGAAATGCCATAAGAATATGTTAACGAAAAAAAAATTTGAACAATTTAATTTAAAAATTTTGAAACTGCGGCACAAACTACCTGAAAATTGCTTTTTACAAACCGAACATTGTTTGCCCCTAAAGAGACAAAAAATACGGTAACTAAACCAATAAAACAATTCGAAACAATTTAGGCCGAAAAAAGCTTGAAAGCGAAAAAAAGGAAAATATACTACGCCAGTGCTATTAATTTTACAAATTTCAGAAGTATATCAAAAACACTTGCATCTACGATGAAAACTGCTTGCAGCAAAAAAAAGTCCCAACTAAGCTGACAAAACATGTTTTGCGGAATTTTTTTTTTCAATTTCGAACATGCCGAAAAAAAACAAGGTCCGGCTGGGACTCGAACCAGACCTTAAGGTATAAAGCCGACGGCGTTAAATCGAGGCCAAGTGAAAAGCAGTCTCGAAGTTGCCAAGGTTCACTAATAGAGTAACTTTCAAATTTATAAGAAAATTTGTTTACAGGGGAAAAAGTCTAGTTCCCGATTACAAAACACTTGCACTCGCAAGTATAAAAAAACCGTCAAAAACTAATATATAAGAAGTCGAAATTTGTCTGGAGAAAAAATCGCCTCAAGCACAAATATTCCGTCACTTACTTCGAAAGTCGGAACAAAAATAGTTAGTCGAATTATTAATGCAAATTAACTCCTAATGCAGACCTTAAATCGAAGCGTCTCACACCGACACTGGCAAATTGCTATGCATCAAAAGCTAAAGGTTATCAAAGTTAATACAACTATAAAGCCTTCTTTATCAAAAAATTTAAGGTAACGTAAATAACACTTGAAAAATACGTATGATAGGGTTGGTTACACTTAAACTGCAACAAGGCAAATTTTCCACAAGAAAAGATTTCAAAGTGTAATGGAGCAAGTACAAAGTACGGTGATGTCGAAAGCAACTAAAAAGAAATGAAATGTCACAAAATAATTGGTAAACATTAAACCAACTTGACCACTAGCTTTATTCGGTACTCTAAACAACATCAAATTCTGAAGTTAAGTAAATATAAAACCAACCATGAAGCAATCTCACATCAAAACAAAGCTTTGATCGATTCAAACCGCCTTACGTTTACTCTACCAAACACTTACAAGATTTGATTTTGTTTACTATAATCCCGTCTAATGACACATTCTGTGACCTTATGAATAAAATCGATTGCCAATTTAGTTTAATCAAGTTTTCGTTATTTAAACCAAAGAGTTCAATGATGGTGATGACATAGAAATATACAAACCTGCACGCATTAAAGCAAATCTATAAGCTGACGCCGACCAATTTCGCTCATACTACCACGGTGTTGCGAGAATGATTTTTCACTTAATATATTTGTAAACAATTACGTAAACAAAAATCAAACCTTTCTGCAGCAAACATATTCAAGGATGGATGGGGTCATGACTAAAACAAATTTTACCGTATAAACAGCGCATTAAACCATTTTAAAATGATGCAATTAATGTTTAAAACTAGCAGCTGCTAAACTAAGTTTTTTTTTTCAATTTATCGAGCGGCAACTACGTCGACAACACTTGGGTAAACGCCCGATGAGACGAAAACAAAAAAGTTCAGTTCTGAAATTCTATTTATGCGCCCTTTCCCCTCCGGCAACTCACAAAATGATAAAGATATATCTTTCAAAATGCGCAAAATTAGTTCTCTGAGCCGATAAAATATAAGCCGAAACAATTTAGGCTGAATACAGCTTTCAAGTAATGAAAAACAAAGAAATTATGCAATGTCAGAGTTGGTAATTTTACCAATGAATCAAAACGCTTTCGATTACAACTAAAACTGCTTGCTGTACAAGAAAAGACAATGATGGCAACTAAGCCGACAAATTAAGAGCCGATAATTTTTTGAAGCTGAATAACTTGGAAAAAACAGGAGCTGGCCGGCTTCGAATCAATGCTTTATTTCAAACGATGATATTCAACCGCTCCAACGAAATTTAACAGCAGTCATTTCTTGAGATAAGTGAACTGCGAATAAGTAAATTGAAGACAGTTCACTTTCTTATTTTATCAATTTTCGAATACACATATCACCTCTAATATTTTTCAAATCAAGCACCTTTTGAAACTATTTTTGCTAGTCAAAACTAAACCAAATGAGAAAACTAGATCAGTAGGTAAGTTTTTGATCTAACTGGGAACTCTGAAGATTCCAATTTAGAAAGTTGGCTCGTTTTTTAAATCAATTCCATAATTGTTAGTTGAGAGCGTATGATTTCTTCCATTTAGCTATTTAATTAGCGGTGAACTTGAAAAGAAATCAAAACTTAATCCACTAACATGTAAACTTGAGTGTGAACAAATTTCTCTTTTTACTGAAAACCAAAACGAGACAAGACTGCTCGTATCAGGGCGAAGCCCTGAATGTTCCCACTGCTTTTTAAGGTCTATTGAGCAGTAGTAACATGAAACAAATTAAATATAAAAATAAAAAACTTTAAATTGAGATTTTTTGAAAATCATCCCCCCACACGCCATATTAAGTACAAAAACATGGATTTCGCTCCCATTAACACATCAATTTGGCAAATCAACTTCTTTCTCAGAAATATATCGCGCCTTTAATGTCCCAAATGGCAATCTTTAAAACCACATAACTTTGAGAAAAATGATCACAGGTGAAATATCTTTTCAAATTTAAGCTCAGGGCAACAATACCTTTCGAATGGTGTAAAACAATTCCGTCAAAAACGGCTAGTTTAAAAGTCGAAACTTGTCTGAAGAAAAAAAAACCCACCCCGAGCACAAATATTCCGTTACTTCTTTACGAAAGTCGGAACAAAAACCTAAGTCGCTAAGAATTTTCCCTTTTACGGAACATTATCACTTTTTTACACGGAGGCGAAGTGGAGCTGGACTTAGCTTCCGATACAACTTATGCATAGCATGCCAAGCTAGCAAACAAAATGAGGCGGAAATAACCAAGTCGAAGGAAAATTAATCAAAAACTATTATTTTGGACAAATGAAAACACAATTTAGAAAACGACGAGAAAGAGAACCAAAAGCATTCAAACAACTTCTAGTATTTACCGAGTGGCCTTCATGCCTACAATATAACGGTAAAATCAATTGATACGAAAACGAACAGCGTAACAATGGCGTAACAAATAGTTGTCATAAAATCTTTGGGCATAGCATGCATCCTGAAAGAAGCAAGGCCCGGCCGGGACTCGAACTCCGTTCTATCAGAAAGTTGTAGATGTGCCCACCAAAAGTAGCATCAATATTTGTGACTTAGGTTGGAAAAAAAGGATAGTGGTACTACTACACTACGATCGCTAAAGCTAGTTCAAGTTCTTATAAATTTGTAAAAAGTGTTTACGTGAAAACGTCTTGTTGCAGATTACAATAAACTTGATCTCGCAAAAGTAATCAGCATCAAACATCGAGAAAAAGTGCCCAATCAATAGCTTTCGAAGCTCTAAACATTGATGTCTGCTCTAAACATTGAACTTAACGACAACAATCAAAGAGAACTGAGGCAAACTGTCTCACTAAATTGCTAACCAGTTAATCAAACGAAAACGAGATTAATTGTTGTAATGAATAGTAATTAAAAATTCGGCTAATAATTTTCTACGTAATGCATAATTTGTTTTGGTTTTTTGTTTATTCATAATTGCCTATCAAAATCTGTGACCCTGTGATTTATTGCTAATTTTACTCATGCACAAAATCAGAACATTCAAAAACATCTCTTAGTAGAAATCGGTCACTCTCCTTCAATCAATCTTCTCTTGCTCGCCGTAACACAGTTTATGCAAACTATGAGCGCCTCCATGCCCCATTCGGGGCAGTACAACAGAGCCGAAAAACAGAACTTGTCAAACAGCGCCAAATTAATTATTTTGTACAACAGTACCGAGAAGTAAAAAAAGTTGTCACGAATAGTTCTAAGACTGAGGCAAAATTTTTTAACTAGGTCGATTTCATGCGAATTTTTGGCGCAAAAACATCGAAGCTATCATTAACTTTCATTTCTAGAGACATACCATCAAAACCTGCGGAAAAACAAAAGAACGAGGGAGCAATTAATGAGAAAGAACGATTTAATGGTTCTTAGAAATCTAAATGCAAAAAAAATCAGAAAAAGTTTTGTATTCTGTTATTAACAATAACTCAAGCTTTCGAAAGTATTTTTTCATTTTTTCGCACAAGTAACAAATTTTTTCGTCCACTTTTGCAGTCTTCAGCAAACTTTTCTTTTCGACACTGTTGAACGTCCCCGACCCAGTCTGCTCTTAACTAACAAAAATAAATTTAAATAAAAGCTCGAATTAGCAAAATCAAGGGTCTATGAAAAACAAACTAAGCTAACTGACGATTGGAAAAATGCAGTGAACGCAAAGCAATAGAAAAAAAACTGGCTGGTTTTTTGAAAAAAAAATCAAAACTTCTCAACTTTCGAAAAAATAACGATACAATTAAAAACATAGTCAACATACAATTAACGCAATTGAGTCAATGAATTCAAGTAAACAAAAACTTGTTTTTTTTTTAATTTCAGAGAAAATTCGAAGAAAAACCATAGCCTTAAGGCTCATAAAATAATTTATGATTGACACCTTTTTAATAAAATTAACCCAATTTGAGAAAACGACTAAAAGAAAAAGATGTTATTTCGCTGGGAAACCTGATAATTATTATTTCTGATCACGTTTTTGGTGATCATTAATTTTTTGCAGTTCGATAGTGGAGTTTGCTTTTCTTTTAACAATGGAAATGCGCTGAACTTAAAAAGAACTCACAATTCAAATCGTAACAATTAAAAATAAGCGTGAACAAAATCGAAAAACATAGCCAACAGGCAGTTGGAAAAAAGTCAAGGAGCGCAGGTAAACGGAAGAATAACTGACTTGTTTTTTTAAAAAAAAATTCAACTTTTGACGGCCCCAAAGCTCTTTGAATTTCAAGAACAATTTATAATTGACACTTTTTTGATAGAAAAGTAAACCAATTTAAGAAAACTGGATTAATTTGTAAAATTTTTGTTTAGCTGGGAAATGAAGAGAACTTAAAAAGTCGAACCGTGAAAAAGTAAAATTGAGCCTGACTTTTCCTTCAAAAAATAGAAATTTTTTTAAGACTACGGTCATTACTCCAAAAAATTAGTTTTCTATTGAGTACGAATAAATAAAACTTTCACGGCAAAACTAAATATTTTTCTATAATGAAACCTGCTCGCTCGCTTTAATCGCTCAAAATTACACTAAACACCAGAAATTTCAAACCAGTTTTTCGAAACTAAAAAATGAAAGGTTCATCACCCCAAAACTGAGCGAGCTTTATAATTTATCACTTGGCCCATTCGACTGACTATTTGTGGTATGAGATTTTGCGTGAAAAAAAAGTAAAAACAAAAAAAGCCAAAACGCACCAAATAAAAAGCCGACTTTCTCCGTGCCTGAAAATTCGCAGAAGAATCAACCAGAAATTTCGGTCTCAAACTGTTTTACGAATACCTTTGCTCAAAAACTGCACATGAATACAGATGCAGAGTTGCAACTCCAAGTGTGGTCTTCAAGACAACTAGCCCTGCAGGTCGTTGTCACAAAGGGATGTCTAGAAATGCGGACGAAACCTTCGGTGGTACTTCTATAACATCAGTTATTGGTCTAACTTCGCGCGCACTACATAAAATTAACTACCTCAGTTCTCAATCAATTGCGCAAGCTTGGGCCCAGGCAAAAAAAGAAGCTGGTAATTCTAACATTTTGGGGGAAATATTGAAGTATTGCTTAAGCAAAAAGTACTTCATTGAAACGCATTTTTACATCTTTACATAAAATGTAGCTGACAACACACTCCAACCCGGATACGAGAATATAAAAATTCATCAGTAACATCAATCAATATACTACAAAATAATAGCTAATATTACATTTAAAGAGAAAAATATTTGAGCACTGTCATGATTACGCAACATTTTAATTTCAAAATATGTCATGTTGCAAGCATAAAGGGGTGTGTGTACGTGTGCTGACTTCCATGTTCTCAGCTCTGTTTTTCGGGGGCAAAAAAGAAAGCTGAAACCCCGAAGATTATGAAGACGACTGAGCCGATATATGTAACAGCCTTGACTGATATTCTCTGTGCTATCATTCGTCCACCCAGCACTGCTAGCCCAGTGCACAGAGCGTGACCCAAAGTACCTCCTATTATAACTGCCCCAACGTGTTCTCTGGCAGCTAGTATGACTGTAGCTACTTGAGACCTAAACAGAAAAATCAGGGTTTTCAAACAGGAAGTCCGAATACTCTTAGAAAGAGTCATATCTGCTTCAAATCGTGTGATAACACACACTTAAACATGATGACGATGAAAATCGATTCTGAGACATGCACAAATATAGACACCAAAATCTAACCTCGAAATTAGCGTCAATTGATTAGTTGCATAACATTTATGAAAATGACAACACGCATCAGATGGAAGCCTTCTGTAGAAAACGAACGTGTAAATTGATCACTCTATTCTTTTCTAAATTAGACTTTTGCACTATCTAGAATTTTTGAATGTTTCTATATCAATTGCACGTCTTAGTTATTTCAGTTTGACTTTTCGGAAACTTCTGTGTTGTGCTCATGTTTTGAATTTCTTTCTGAAGTTTTGAAGTTGAAGTTGTCTAATGTGATTGTCAATTCTCAAATTGGCCTATAAAAATTGACCTCATTTTACATTTGCAAAATAAATTAAGAAAAAAGGAGAGGGCTGATTCCTAATTATAAATTCGATACGATAATTTCCTTGATCAGTCGTTTCCAATTATGGGTTGCGAGCTGTTGGGCAAATTTCCATTGTCGACGAGTGTTAAGGGCTCTTGGAGTTGCGGAGGTGGCATGCTGTCATGGACTCTTCCCAGCAGAAAATGATTTGGAGTGAGAGAAAATCATCAGGCGATGAAAAAGTATTGATGGGTCTTGCATTCATGAAGTGTTTAACTTCACCAAGAACAGTGTTGAATGGATCGTGTTAGAGTCTTCCAATCATGGCATAGAACGAGTATTTTACTGATCGGATGAATTGTTACCAAACACCTCCAAAATGAGGATCATAGGCTGGATTGAAAGTCCAGTCAATCTGATGGCTAGCGTAGAAATGTCGTGCAATGTTGGTGACAAAGTGTCTGCTGAATTCTTTTCCGGATGCTGTGCAATTTGTGCCATTATCGGAAACAATTTTCGCCGGTGTTCCTATACGGCGCAGAAAACTCTTAAGACATTGATGAAGGAGTCCACTGATTGATCCTGGCACAGCTCGAGATTTACGGCTCGTATTGTTAGGCATGTTAAGATAACGCCGTAGCGTTTGTTGTATGTTCCTGTGATTTACGAAGCAAATGGTCCAAAGAGATCTTGTTCTGTTTGTTGAAACAGGAAGGGTTTAATCTCTGAAAATCTAAAGGCAGGTAGGACCTTACCAGTAAAGTTTCACTGAAGATATTTAATTAATATCAAATAAAAAACTTACAGTTTGAGTTTCTCAAATGTTTTCCTCAAAACGTATTTGCTCGTCCTCTATTACTCTTTCTTTGTCGTCTCTTAGTAAAATCGAGTCGAAATAAATGGGCCACGTAGGCGTTGTCATTGTCAACAAAGATTCATAACCATAAATGAGTTATGAAATTTAGGAATAAGTTGCTACGGGTTCGAAAATTGTCTGCTCTCTGCTTTCTTGTAAAAATATATGATTACAGTTTTTATGTTCTCTAGTTCCACACACAGTCCATTGGTCAGCTTATATATGTTTACAAATAAACTGCACATTGATTAATTCATCTTCATTTTTTGATTTTTAGTGTTTTGTTAGGAAGGTTATAAAAATGACCTTCCTAACAAAATTCAAAGGTTGCTGAAAGTAATTTTTATTTAAGATGTATTAAACGTCCTAATGTTCTTTCAGCGGCACTATATTTTCATTCATTGAATGAAGTCCGGGTTGAGACTTCAAAGCATCACAGTTGATGCATGATGCCTGCGCGGTGAAGGCATGAGCTCTCACCTTGTTTAGTTCCATTGTCATTTCCAGTTTGGTTCGATTCGCGTTTTCTTTCACGTCGTTCAATGTTTGAAATGGGGCTGAGGGTTCCGCTGAGTCAAGAATTGTCTCTTGTGCTAATAGAGGTGTCAAAAAGGAAATGGGTTCTATTATATCCTTTTTGCATTTGTGGTAGATCCACATATAGTGCGTGGAGCAACATTGATCCGCTGAAGGAAACTACACTAATGATTAGTGTGTTCGTCAACGTTAGCCGATCATCAAAGACTCGTGCCAAAAAGGGTCTGAGTCGTTTCATATTTACTGCTAGCATTGGGCTAAGTTCTTCAACTGGTAAACATGTTGTATCGAGGTTGAGTCTTGAAGTTGTTCTCGTACCTCCTTGAATAGTTGTATCCCAGCATATGTTTTGGTGTCGAAGTATGTCCTTTCTTCAATTTCGGGCAATTCACTTAGCAAATTTGAAACTGGGTCAGGTAGCTTGACATTGGTTTTGATTGCTGGTAGCTTCTCACATGTAGGCATGTCTGATCTAATTTAAATATGTGGTCCGACAAGTTGTTTCCCACATTTCAGGGTTATTATGCAGATATTGCATCCAGAGAACTTTACAATGCCACTGGAAGTCGTGATTCAATATATCATTCAAACAGAATATATGCCGCTGCACCCGATGTTATGAGCCAGACTCCGTAGCCAAGGTTTTCTGGCTTTTCAGTAACCGTTAGTTGCAGTTGTTCCTTTGCACACACTTTTAAGGCGTTCAGATTTCCCTTAAAGAATAAAGAAAGCGCAGGGAAGCATGATCCGTGGCCAACTTCTATCGCTATCATTTCATGGCAAATTTGGTCTCGTGATGAACCAAGGCAGTGTTTCATGTCATATTCTGTTAACACAGCGGTTTCCATAAGGTCCTTCGAAATGGCCAAGTATGGAGCTTCAGTTCTCCATTTTATAGCTCGATCCTTTTTATGTTGAGGCATTGGGACAGCTATTGCATGGAACACAGTAAAAGAAAATTGCCTTGGGGCTAGCGGTATGGCAGTCTTCATTAGCAAGCCTTCTTTGATAGTGACGACGTCCGTCAGAAGTTGTGCTTCATAATATGATAGTATTTCATCCATTGGAATCGCAAGGGAAAGTCGATCACGGGCGTGGCTTTGTTTAGCAGATACTGCTTCCACAATTGCTGTCAGAGATTGCCTGGGTACCAGTGACATGGTAAAAACCTATTGAACAGAGAAGGTATGGCGTTCATCATGTTAAGCCTGTATGTGTGAAGTGGTTCTGTACGATTTCACGCAGCAATCATTTCGCAAGCAGCGAGGAGACTGTACCATAATTGAAGTTGACTTGTTGTCTTGTGTACAGTAACTGATCGCAATCTCGAAGAATATGAAAGTTATGCTTGAAGACGGCAAAGTGTTCCAGTATAACTTTCTAGTTCCTGTTTTGAACTTTTAACATTTCTTTCTGTACTTGTTTAATTGAAGATAATTCATTTGTAACCATGAAAATATTTGTGTCCAGATCTTCAGCCAAAGTAAAGACGCTTTCGAAAAGTTGTGCTTGGAAATCAGCAAGTCGTCCTATGTTCTCTTTCGTTGTCGTCTCTTAGTAAATTCGAGTCGAAAGAAATGGACCACATAAGCGTTGTCATCGTCAACAATGATTCATAACCAGAAAGGAAATTTAGGGATGTGACAAAACTAGAAGTCGATCGCGTTTTTCATGACTTTTACACTTCGCTAGTGGATTTTGCCTTCCTTTTAACAAAGAAAATGAATTGAACATGAATATCAAACTTTAATTACCGAAAAATCAAAAATGAGCTCAGAAAAAAATCACCAAGACCTATATAAGAGTATTGACTACGTATATTTCTCTCAAAAACAACGGATTAAAACCGAAAGATTGTTTTTCAAGAAATAAAATATGGTGGGAAAAGTTATACAATACACATTCGAAAAAAGTGTATAGGCACGCAAACGTTACTAGTTGAGCATCCTTAAGCTTTCAATTATTACTAAATGCTAATCCATGATACGCCTAACATATGAGCTGCGCCCAGCTCTGCTGAAACAGATTGAAGCTTCAACATTTACAGATAGCAAACCATGCCTAAACAAATCAGCATACACGAGCTCTTCAATCGGTATCCAAGAATTTGTTGAATAAATTATTACATATTTAAGCTTATTTCTCTAACCTGTCGCCCCACTCGGCCAGGAAGGTCAGAGTAAACGCCTGTAGAAATACTTTCGAGAACACTCTCCGGTGCAGCGAGCATAAGAAAGGTATGAACCCTCCGTGACTGGAAACAGTGCCAATGAATACTCCCTTTTCTGGGTCCAAACCTGAGATAGCTTCTGAATCTGAGGTTTTCTTCAACTGCTGTTGGACTTCTTCCATTTCCTCCATTCCTAAGAAGCATTTACAATTTTATCAGAGGATTTACATACATTTCTAACCTATTTGGCTCTTAGAGCAATGACGAAAACATTTCAACAGCAAGCGGGTAAAAGATTAGAATCACCACCCAGATCGATTTGATAAAATTTCAGTACTTTGTCAATTGCATGAAGATCCAGGTAGATTCCATTTAATTTCAGAGCCTGCGAAATAAGTCTCAAAAAATTGATTATTCGAAACACTTCTGCCAAACTTAATCTAAACTAATCTTTTGTCTTCAAATTCAACCTATAGGCTAATGTCATATAAAACAAAATCACCTTCGCTGTCAGACATTTTCCTTGCTTCCATGAACATCCTTATTCCGAAAATGAGAAACAAAATACTGGAAGCATAATATGTTATCACCCGGGGTATCATACTGAGAATGTGACCGACCAATGACGCCAATACTGTCATCACAGCCAGCGCTGACAGAGCTCCGGAAAGTACAGTAAGCCGAGAATGCCTCATAGCCATGATTGCTGCGATGAAAAACGTTTTGTCTCCCAATTCCGAGACAATTATAACAGCTAATGAAGCGATGAACCCATGTAAGAAATAGCTTGAGGAATACATGTTGTTCAAATATTTTGAAAGTCCTTCTGAAAGACCAAGAGACCGGAAGTCAAAATCTTGTGGTGGGTTATCCGATTTTTCAATTGAGCCATCATTGGGAAGAATTAACTTATTGTCTCTCAATTCAGACTGAATAACATTAGAGATCTTATCATTTTTTGATTTGTCCGACAATGGGTCATCTGAACAAGCCACATGGAAGAGACAGTATGTTGTAAGACACACCGCCCAGTATCCTTGGTTCAACATCTTCATTGAGTTAAGGGCAACAGAACCGCTTTTACAGACGACCTATCATTATTCATATACCTGAAAGAATGCAATACCTGGAAAAAACTTACAGAACACATACTCGATTTTAAAGAGAGTACATTTTGAATGACAAGGTTTATATATGGATTACAATTATTACGGTAAGCTGACAGCTGGAAAAGAGTAATGAACTCAAGCAAACTGAAAAATGAAAACCGACTTGTTTTTTCAAACCTCTTCAACTTTTGAATGCCCTTAAAGTTCTTTGAAATTGTAAGAACTTATGATGGACAAATTAAGAATCATTCTCAAAACTAGATCAGGTTTTAGGTGACCTTAACACTTTTGCTGTTCGATAGTGGAGTTTGCCTTCCTTATAACAATGGAAATGCCCTGAACTTCAAAAATCACAAGTCAAACAGCGAAAAATCAATATTGAGCATTAACAAATTATAAGACTTTAACCTGAAAAAAACCAAAAAACAATCAGCAAGACCTATTTAACAGGACTCACTACGTTCATTAGTGTTAAACAAAAGCTAGACATTAACAGGGACCACACACTCGATCTTTAGTTCTTCTGCACTTGAAACGTTTGGCACAAATACGGGGTTTGATTTTCATTGCGCAATTCGACCAGAATGCCGCCAACAAATAGTTCGACAGAACAATTTTTTAAATGAAGGAGTTCGATCGTACGAAACAGCGATTCTAATTATTAATGTTCCTATATGAAGGAATGGACGAAATAGGAAGGGTCAGTTTGGACTGACATCCTTATTTTTAAAAGCAAGAAACGTGACATTTTTAATTTTTGCAACACTGAGTACCAGGAAAATCAAATCAACGTTTTCGCTGGTCAGAACAGAAGATAGAGAGTGTCGAGACAGAAAAAGATAGAACGATCGGAAATACAGTTCAAGATGCTATGACCAGGTGCTTTATAGTTAGTTAAGATATTTTTGATAAAAAGTAAATTTCAAACGTTGTCGCAACTATAAGCATCGTCAGGACTCTAACCTTAAACTAATCTAAATGACGATAAAACATCAAATTACAAATGTTTTTTTTTTTACAATAAATCAAACAAATTTTGGTTCTAAACCATCATGTTAAAAATTAGCTAATCCCAGTAGACTTCTAAAATTACTGTTTAGATTAAAATACTTTCAACCTTTAAAATTAAATAAAAATTTTTTAATAAATTTGTCTGCAAGTTTCTTAGTCAAAACTTCGTTCATTAGAGTTAATAGTTAGTGTTGTACCTTTTGAACTATCAAGTTCAGTCTATTCAAGCAAGTGTGGCGGTGTACTGTACTAATTAGGCTATAAGAAAGCACCCTCGTCTTCATTGAGAAGTGTTTGGTTGCAAGGGCCAAGACGATCTTGTCTTCGAAGCGTGGTAACTCAGGATTTCCTCAAAATAGGAGTTTCAACTGATTATTGAATTACTATCTGGTTTTCTCTGATTTTATTCTAAGCTCCTATCTGAGCTATACATAAAGTCAAAATTTAGCCTTATTAAACTTCTAGTTTGAATATTTGTAGGCAAATATTTATAAAATTAAAAAGGACAAATAGCTTTTATGTTCTGTAAGATTTGATGATTATTGGCCGTCACATTACCTGACTTTGAGAAGGTTTCCGGCTCGTTTTTTTTTTCGTGTGATCCACTATTTTCTTCAAGCAACGTTTTAGAATTTTATATATAAAAATTACGTTAGTTGAGATGAGAGTTTTCAGAAAGAATATTGTAGTTAGGCAAGATTGTGTTAAGCGAGCGTGTTCTCTGTTTGTAACATTCGCCCGGAAGTACATATCGACGGAAAATAAAGCTAGGCTATGAAAAGACTGGCCAGCGTCTAAACAAAGCTCTACATGCTTTTCACTGTCTCTACCAAAGCCAGTTCTTTTGGTAGTCTTTCTAACATCGGGTCGACAAAAACGTTACTGTTCTGCGGCTTCGACCAGAACACTCAAATTAACTTAATTATATGCAATAATAGTGAGCTCATGGCTGGGTCTCAGTATCCCCAGACCACAAGGTCACTCCTAAAAACAGGGCTACTACTATTTATTATATTACTATTGTTTTTGTTCAGTAGATAAAAATCATCATCTCCATCGAAGATGGATCAACCCTTTCCCTCAGCTCCTAGCTTCTCATTATCAGAAAATGAATCCAGATATTAATTAAATTCAATTCAGGGTATAACCAGGAAGCTAAAAGTTCGTATGAAACAGTTTAAGTTCAGTCTCAAGACCCCTCCGGATTCCTGAATCCGGGGAAATAACGCTCTTATTTCCTTTCCGGAAGGCTGGACACACTGTCCCAACACACTTCACCGTTGGCGTGAATGGCTCTGTAACGATTGTACCGACACAATCGTTACAACTCGGAGCGGTCTCAGATAATTTCCAGTTGTATTTTTCTATTTCTCGTCGTTGTTTCTATCGCAACTATCGTCGTTGTTGTTTTTCTTTTCTCCAGAATGACCGTTTCAGCATTTCTCAGAAATATGACGTCATCATTCGAATTTTTTAAAAGTTTAAAATACCAGAAATTTCTGACCACAGTTTGTCTAATCATTCAAATAACGTCGCTAATCTGCTAAAACTGTCAATTCTCCAGGTCAGCGGCTACCAATTTGAAATTGCACTTTCGTCCATTCTTGTCGAATGTCACAGTTGCGAGGGATAAGTCTGTATAGTTAATGACGATAGCCTTAAAGCATGTACAGAGAAGAGTAATTTGTGTATTATAGAAGAAGAAGTATTAGAAGGAAGTGGAGTAGGAGTTAGAGTTATGATATTTTTAGCATCAGTAGTAGCGATGATTTGGGTTTTTATTTAGCAAGTAGAAATAGAAGAAGAATTGAATTTGAAACAGACGTATCATCATTGTAGAAATTAGAGTGTGAAGGTGAAATAAGAGAACTTAGTAGATTGCGATAAAAAAAAACATAAGATAGTAGTTCTGTTAAAAATTATTTGTGTTAATTTATTTGACGTTTTTTAGTTTTGTCTTTTCTCTTGTACATGGAATGATGTCATATTCTGCATTTGCAAATTGCTTACCATTTTTCCTTTTCAGATTGAATGTTTGATTTTATTTTCAATTTTGTTTCACAGCTGTCATCGGGTCTTCTTCCAGAAGTGGAGGTTGACTCGAAACAGTCTGATTGGCCGCGGCCTGCTGTGGCCAGGAGAAGTATGTTGCGCTTCTCCTTAGCAGCGGACGAAATTTGTGCACTGGCTTCCCAGACGTGGGATCAGATGCAGGAGAAATTTGACTGTGGTCGGGTCTTTTTTGACGGAACATTTTTTCAGACGGTTCGACTGGAGTCGGTCTATCCTCCCGATACCTGGCTGGACAAGGTTTACGTGGAAGAGTTTGGTCCAGGTTTGGCACCAATGGAATTGTTGCATGACCTTGTTGTGTTTTGCAACAATCGCCCAGCCTGGACCGCGTTCCATTTGGATTGCGAGCCACCTCTTTGGACTCTTGGCCAGTGGTTTTCTGGCAGGAATATCTGGTTCAATGTCTGGATAGGTCAGTTAGTGGGTGACCTGTGCAACCGTTCCACCGCCCCGTTGTTGCAGGGGTGGTGTCAGCGCTTGAGAGAAGAAGGGTTGCCACATGGTGTCGAGTGTGTCGTGCAAAGTCCTGGCGATGTCAAGAACTTGCCTGCAGGTGCCGCCCATGCTTATTTGAGTGATCCTGGGTGGACCTGCATGTTGATCCGGCGGACACACTTTGAGGAGGCCAAAGCTGAGGCCTACATTAGGTCTGGTGTGGGTGGGCGAAAGAAGACAAAACATCCCGGCAGAAGGGCTACGAAGTCCTTGTTTGGCTGAAAAAGGAAGAAGACCGCACCTGGATCGTAATTTAAGTTGTAAAATTTGAGCAAAATTCCTGCATTATGAGTGTAACGTAACGTAGGGGCATAGTGTGTGTCCGCCTGGCAAGGTAGAATGTCTGTACCTGTTTTTTCCTTTGGGGCCAAGAGTAAACAAAAGTATGAAGTAAAGAAAATTGATATTCAGTTATCCAGTTTTGATTTAAAATCAATTGTTGTTCGATGATAAGCTTTCGGTAGTTTATCCTCGATAAAAAAACTTACACGAAGGGCTGTAGAATAGTTGAACAAAATGAGGGCAGACTGTAAAAAATGGAAACTCAATGTTTTATTGTTATTTTTTTTCTTCATGCCTTTGCGCTGAAGTCCACTGCTTTCGGGGCTTTATTCATCGTGGATAGCCCGTTGT